TATTTAAAAAAAAACTGTTGTGATCATTTCCCATCATGCAGTTCTGCATCGTGTATCGGATGCTAACTGAAAACTCGCCTAGTTTGTCCACGAATCATCATACAAATAGGACTATAAACCCCACAGGCGGTTTCAATTAACTCTAGGTCAAACAAAAACCCTCTAACAACTTTGAAATGACCATCTAAAAGAAAACAAATCTTCTAAAACACTTAAAAACGACTATTTTTTCTACTCGTGGTATAGCCACTTCCTATTTATTTGCAGGTCGCCGGTTAGAAACAGCGTCCTGCTGCTGTGGCCCCCTCTGGCCTGGAGGGGAAATGCACCCCCATCTTTGAGCCTCTCTGAACTGCAACTAACGGCAGCAAGGAACAGAAACACCGGAAAGTAAGTAAACAGATACTCATTATACATTTAAAGAATTTGTAACAACATGTACATACTAATTATCCGGTACAACCAGTTAATGAACAGCCATTCTTATCCAAAAGATCATGCAACTACAAATACTGTAGTCACAAATAGCTCCCCCTGGTGGACAAACAGGGAAACAGCATACTTCTCCCCCTGGTTAAAATAACGGTTGTTTTTACACATATTTGAATTAACTAAAAAATAAAAGGCATTCCTTATAGTTTGGCACAGGATTCAAGTTGAAATAAAGCTACTAAAACAATATCGTTTCAGTGCTAAGACACGGGTAATATCAAACGACTTGTTTAAATGTAAATTACACCAAAACTTTGGCCATTCCTCTAAAAAGACGATACAACTTGCACTGACAACGTTGCACAACTTATTTTTAAGCTTAGAGGCGTAAAATACCTCCTCAGAGAAACACGCTGGGCTCCTTTGCAGCCGGACTAGGCCGCAATTAACTTCGAAAACCCAACAAAACTAGGAAAGACATGCAACATATAGTATGACACCTCACAGAGAAGTTATAAACAGATTACATTACTTACCTGCAAGCTGCCCAGAAGCAGAAAGTATATTGTGTGGTACTCAAAGTTGAATCACTTCTTAGTTTTTCACTCGTGCCAATGCTGACATGCAAATGAGCTACAAACAGGTGGGTCACTGCTGGTCAGGGTTGCCAGATTTGAGAACATTCAGTTAAAAGTGCCTCAGATTTCATTGAACGTTCATTAAGCAGAAAGCGATGGGAAAAGTACGTCAATTTGACTTTATATGTAACTGACATACAGGTCTGTGCAGTCTTCACTGCACTAAACCACGTTGTCTGTCTTGTTTCTGGGTGTCTTGTCTTTTGGGTGAACCAGTTTTCGTCTCAGGGTTTTGAGATTTCTTGTCAAGTAAGATGAACTTGCTTCATGGACAGATCATTTCACTAGTATTGGGCCACTTTATGATTGAATTAATCTTTTTTTCTTATATTTAAACTACCCCTTTTTGCAATGTATGATAAGCCATTTGAAAAGCAACATACAATGGAAAGAGTAGGTCTTTTAAGTATACACAAATCAACTCGCTGGTACAAACATCTAAACCGGAGATGGTTCATTCAACTCTTACAACCATCTAT